TTTTAAGAAATGTTTAATTGCAGATGGAGTCAAGATGTAATAATAGATAACATCGGGATATTATATTAGACACACATTGTAAACTGGTCATAGAATTTAGAACCAACTTTCATGATGAAAATAAGTTTTCCTAAAACAGAAAAGATACAGGAAGAAAGGTCAGGAGCAGAGAAAAGCAAATTAAATTCGATATTTTAGTTAATTTTTCTATGCAAGATTAATTAACCAAATTATAACCGAAACATTTGCTTTAAGAATATCGAATCAGACTCTAATTTTCGTAGTAAATTATTAAGCAAGAAAATAAATGTACAATTTGTATTAATAAGTTGTTCTGGAGTCTGAATTTATAGTTTTTATATAAACCTTTATAATTTATTATATATCTAATTGGTTTTCAAATGAGTATGAAATCTTTAGCCTTAAAGTTAGGTGGAACAGCCATTTTTAGAAAAGATAATAAACAAGTAAATGGCAACACTATTATCTCGTGAAGCAGGCCTTGGTGGAACCACTGGCAGCTAGTTGGGTTGGGGAAAAGCTTCCTTCCCTTAATGGGTAGAACATTTATTTAATAAACGAATGAACGTCTCGGCCAACCCAATATAATCATTTTTATCTCAGCAGCTGACAACAGATTAATTGATTTGTTACTTGTTTACGGATTATCAACCCATTGTGAGTTATTTAAAGCTGAAACATATTTTTGATTGTAGGAAGTTGCTTACAGTTTCCGGTGTGTTATGAAGTAGAGTATTCTGTGGAATAGACGATCTCAGATCAACAGATGTTAGCTCGACTGGCTTTCGTTTTGGCGTTCTGTTTTTATAGCAATACATCATTTACATACTATACTAAACCTTTCTGAACCAAAATGGCCTTATGCCTTTCTTTGATCTTTGAATTATAGTTATTATTGTGAATTTAAACAGCCTTTCTTGGTGTGTATCTTAATTTCTTCTTAGAAGGGACCTGATCTGAGTTCATTTTTCTCTTACGACCCCTCGTCAAATTTCTGGTTATTATCATCCATAGACTTGTTCAGTTCCACTACTGGGTTCATTATCCCCGCACTTCATGTTCTTTATCTTCAGATTCTTCGTCTATTTCTATATCTTCGAGTTCCAGTCTGCTTTTGAATTGATCCGCATGGGCTCATAATTTTGTCCATATTTCGTTAGTATTGCTGTCTTGTGTCCTTTCTGTACTACAAAGTTCGCCTTCTCTAGATTAGATACTTTGTCTTTTTTAATACCATACATTTTCACTTGTTGAAAATGACACTGTTTTGGAAACTCTAATCATTAATGCGGAGGGACTTTGTAGTCTTCTGGCATTTGGAATTGTCCTCTAGCTTAACAGTAATCTTGGCAAGTAACTCTCTATATTATCATTAGATGTGGAAAATGCTTTTAGTCCTATTTTCACAGTCTGCACCATTCTTTTTGCGATTCCATTCAATCGTGGGTGGTAGGGTTGTACTTTATAGGGGATGCGTCCAATATGTTTTAGCCACGAGCACAAACTTTCCTCGCAAAATACTGGCGCGTTATCAAAGTTTTAGGCGCCTCATTCCTTGTTCTTAATATTTGTTTTACAGTGATGACTTTTCTATCAGGAACCTTAATTACTGCGATTCATCCTGAAAACGAGTCCAAAAAATTTAAAAATAGCCAAATACCTTTAATATCTGTATAATCCATGTGCATCCAAGCCCATAATTCTTTTTCTTTAGGCCACGAATGAATTTTGTTTTGCCGATTTTTTATTATTTCATCACATTTTGGGAACCTTTTCACATAGTCTTCTACATCTTGAGAATATCCTGGCCACCACGCTTGTAATTTAAATCTCATTTGTGTCGTTGTTATACCACAATGTACATAATCGTGTACACATTTTAGTACTTCTTTTCTTAAACTTTGGGTGGAGAGTATTATAATATCTCCATTCCATATTATGGATTTCTCTACAGTTAACTTATGTCTTGATTTCTTGTAGGGTCTTTCTGTCATTGAACAATTGCTCCATGTGTTCCTTTTTATTCTGTCTGAAATTCTACACAACATTGGTTCGTGTATGTTTTCCATTCTGAGACAATTTAGTTGTAAAACGTCCGTTTTAACCCAGTGAATTATTTCATCTTCTGAATTTTTAGACGTTTCTAATTTTTTACTGTCGAAATTTAGTCTGCATAGTGCATCCGCATGTGGAATAGTATTCTCCTTTACGAAATCAAAGGCGATAAGTTTTATAGCCAATCTTAAAATTCTGCTTTTAACAAAACTTTCGTCCTAACAAATAAATTCATGACTTTCCATTTCTATGTTAGTTAAGAGGGATAAATCAGGTCATATCTGATGATTCACATCTACTTTGTAGTCCCCGCATATCCTCAAATCGCCAATTGGGCTTTCGTATAGCAACAATTGGTGACGCCCAGCTGCTATCACATTGAGTAACTTTCTTCAATATGCCTTGTTCCACTATTTTCGTTAGTTTTGCATGGGTAGAATATGAAGAGGTATTTATCGAGATTCAAAATAGATCGGGTGACGATTTTCTTTTAGACAAATACTCGCTTTATATCCTTTCATTGGTTCAATGTCAGTCTTTTTTGCACAGTTCATTAATTTCGTCATATCCACATTTAAAACGTCGCTTTCCAGGAGTCCATGATTTTTTTGTGCATTCTACAACAGTGAAGGGAATAATCTCAAAAGAGTTTTTTGTCTTGAAAGTTCCTTCAAAGGAGCCTAGAGTTCTGACGACAGATCCATCAAATTGTTTTAAATTAAGATTATTTTTCTTAGTTTAGGTTTATCCATTTTTTTCCCAGAAGTTCCTTGGGATCAAAGTAACATTGCCCTCCTTCCATGTCAACCTGCATTGGAAATGTTATGTCATTCAATTTATTGTCTCTACTTTTTTTTAGGTGTTCTTATCGAATATAACTGTATTTTCAGTATGAGAATTTATAATTTCTATTCTCTTTTTGTATCTGCACACAGATTGGGAATGGTCTTTTCTTTTACAGTTTAAACATAATTTTCCTAGGGCTGGATATTTGTTTTTGTTTCTTTCATGTTTTTTGTTGCAATATTTGCACTTAATTAGGATTTCAGTTGTGTTGTATGCTTCCAGATTGTTTTTACAATTATTAAATTCATTAATTAATTACAATTGCTGCAAGAATTCTACACTTGCTTCTAAATTCATAACCGTTCAAAGATCTAATGCTTATATGTAAAGTCTTCTATAGATATTTCTCTCGAACCAAGTTTTTCAAATTCGCAATATTTTGATGCTTCTTTCAATCTGTGTAAATATTGCATTACAGTTTCATTTGGGTTCTGTCTAATTTCCAGAAATTCCTTTTTGCAATAACCAACTTCATTTTTGTTCGCTTGTTTCTTTTATAATGATTGAAATTCCCTCATATGTTAAGTCTTCCAGTATTTTGGTGTACAATATAGTGAATATTTTATTTATGGCTTTAAAACCTGCCAAAGTCAAAAATAAATCAGTAACTTCATTCCCCCCCAAAAGGCTTTCTTGTCTAAGTTTCTACGTGCTCCGTTTCATTCAACGCATTTAGGAATCCTATCGGTGACGCCATATTGTTATGACTCAGAGTACTCTCTGGAATAGACGTTGTCAGGTTAACAGATTTAAAAACAAGTGTGGCACAAAGCCGAAGCGGAAGTGGGACACGGGTAGTCAACATTGACTGTGATCTCACCCTCGCAGTTAAACGCTTCAGTCGGCTCAAGCCGAGGAAAGTCAGTCAAATAGCTGCGAAACTCAGAGACACGGCTTTTTGGTAAACCGGTTCTTGAAATACCACCGAAACTCCCCACACATACCTTTGGCACATTTCAGAGAACGTCCCTCCGTGTTATCGACCTCACGAAAGTATCGGTCGGAACCTCGACGGATTTCTTCCTTTCGCAATTCTGCCCCCATATTCACAGCTTCTTTAATCTTGTTTAACCTATGTTTAACTACCTGATCCCGGTACCGCTCGCTAACTGCACGCTTCAGAACCTGTTATCTAACCCTATAACCTCAAGTATTTAATATGTAATATTTTGTTTTGTCAAAAATCTATTTTTGGTAATATGTTTTCTTTCAAAAATGTATTGCTGGTAATAGTTAACTATTTGCCCATAGCTGGGACCCTAACAGGTGCTACCACCCCGGATCATGGTGGACCTGGGAACACTAGCAATTAAGAGGTGGTTCCACGCTTCTCAAAACCTCCTGACCAGAGGACTTGCTGCTGGATGTAGTTTATGCGGATAACAGTCCGAATAATGTACTTGGACATAAAGGTCTTAGCGTACAAGGACACATGGCACAGTAGGTAAAGGCGTTAGTTAGATTCAGTGAAAGGACTTAAAGAGTGTGAGTTCAGTACTCGGTTACGGCAGTGGAGAACTTTCAGAGGGAAATTAACAGGAGATAACTGATAACTGACATCCATTAGACATGGCACGTGGAACAAGAACAGTCTAACCCAGTGAGCGAAATAAAGGGTTCAGTTCGACATTGTAACCGCCTGAAGAAAGCCGAAGGCTTGAAGATGAAATGGAACTAATGCTTTTAATTTAATTGCAAAATTAATTTCGGGGTTTTTAGCTTCTATTTTTGAAACATGGTTGGAACTGTGTAGCGAAAAAAACCATATTTTAAATCAATTAATTTATAATATATATATATATATATATATATATATATATATATATATATATATATATATATATATAAAGAAATAAGTAGTTTATTAACAGAAAAACAAAAATTATATAACCTTAATCTTTACAAATGGTTCCTTAGTATGACTTGAACATTGGCCGCGTACCAATAGCTGATGGTTCGCGTACAGGTCCTAGAGACTGAGACATCTTAGAATCATATCAAGACTGGGTTGTTTTGTCAGGTCAACAGATGCTAGCTCGACTGGCATTTGTTGTGGCGTCCTGTTTTTATAGCATACTACACAGTGTTCACAAGCAGTACTCCATCTAAGTACTGACCGGGCTCGAAGGTGCTTAACTTCGGGAATCGAATGAGAATCGGTGTTTTCAAATTGATTTAACCGTGAGAATGCAGACCGATGAAGAAAACAATAAATGTCGAATATCGATTGTCATGAATTACATCTAGTCTTCTTCTGTTACTAAAGAGTCAGCGCTATACAATCTTTCCAAATAAAGGACCTCTACATGAAAGATAATGCCAGAATATATTGGTGCACTCCAAATATCTTGACGACAAGGCCTGTCAGTTGATCTCTCACCTAAGATAAATATCAATGGGAAAAGAACACTGACTAATATCATCCAATGCCTCTAAACGGCGCACTCACTCGTATCTGAGGACGTCAGTCTACTCGGGTGGATAGCTAATCCTCATTGAAGACGCCTGCTCAGGCTTTCTCTTTTTTTTTTGATAGCATATCAACCGCAATGGGTTATTTAATCCCGACAAAAAGAATCTATTTCTATTTCTATTTTTTCTTTCAAAAAATCTATTTCTAGTAATATTTTTTCCTTAAAAAAATGTATTTCTGGTAATATTTTTTCTTTCCAAAAATCTATTTCTAGTAATATTTTTTTCCTTAAAAAAAATCTATTTCTGATAAGATGTTTTCCTTCAAAATATCTATTCTTGGTAATATTTTTTCTACAACAAATCTATTTCTGGTAAAATGTTTTTCGTCAAAAATTTATTTCTGGTAAAATGTTTTTCTTCAAAAATCTATTTCTGGCAATAATTTTCTTTCAAATATGTATTGCTAGTAATATTTTTTTTTCTTTTTTTTGCCAAGAATGCATAGCTGGTAAGTTTTTTTTTTTTTTAAATGTATAGGTGGTAATTTTTTTTTTATCCAAAAATGTATTGCTGGTAATATTTGTTTTTCAAAAATGTATTGAAGGTAATAATTTTTTACAAAGTATTTCTGGCATTAAAACCTATTTTTACACTTTCATAGTGTTTTGACCCCAGTTTGGGGGTTAACTATTTGCCCATAGCTGGGACCCTAACAGGCGCTACCACCCCAGGTCAGGGTGGACCTGGGAACACCAGAAATTACGAGGTGGTTCCATGCTCCTCAAAACCTCCTGATCAGAGGCCTTGCTGTTGGATGTAGTTTATCGTCTTACCCTGCTCAGGCACATTTTGTGTTTGTTTAACACCCACAGAGCGGCAACAGAACTTAGTTACAGTTTCAGAGAGATTGCCTAATCAACAGTTTGAACAAGGCCATTAGGTCACGATGACTTTTGAGTTGATGCCAAGGGTTCCGTCTACCCAATTTTACTCACAAGGCGTCGTATGGTTTTCAGGCACTTTCCAAATGTACAGTACGCTCCAGACCGATAGCAAATCGACCCTGGTAAGATTTGAACGCTGGACTCATGGTCAGAAAGCGAACATTCTAACCGTTCGGCTACTTTCCAACCACTCTAAATGATATTTAATCACTACAGATCAAGAGCCTAAACCTGCACCAACGTTGTTAAGTGGTCATACCCTCAAAAAGACTTCTTACCTCGAACGCCTGATGGGGTCAAAGCTCACAGTTTGAACACGTATATTTGTGCCATCGCAAAAGATGCTGGAAGAACGTATGGTTCATTGTATCTGCCTCGAAAGTATCTGACTCCTCCTGTCATGCTCTAATCTTTATAAGCGCCAAATAAGATCAAGAAATGGGTGTTTGTGCTATATCTTGGCTAAGGTTACCCAATCCTCAGTTACCAGCTTCGACAGAGTTCAAAAGCACATACTCGGCCTTGTGGATGATGAATTATTCTAGACCCTGCAACCCTTATCGCTTGCCTTTCACTACTATATCGCTATTATTACGCGTCCTGGGCAAGACGATAAACTACATCCAACAGCAAGGTCTTTGATCAGGAGGTTTTGAGGAGTATGGAACCACCTCGTAATTTCTGGTGTTGCTAGGTCCACCCTGACCCAGGGTGGTAACACTTATTAGGATCTCAGCAAATAGTTAACCCCCAAAACGGGGTTTAAATCACTATGAAAACGTAAAAATAGTTTTTAATAACAGCAATACTTTTTTTGAAAAATTATTACCAACTGCACATTTTTACAAAAATAATTATTACCAGCAATACATTTTTGAAAAAAATATTACCAGCAATAAATTTTTGAAAAGAAAATATTACCAGCAATAAAAATCTTGTCGGCATTAAATAACCCATTGATGTGTTGCCATGCTGTAAAACAAAATCAAGCCAAACCTGCTTTTATTATGACAGATGTTCGGGCGACTTATATTTATTAGTGCCAATAGCTTTAGGGTCCGCCATCCATTTATGGTGGAAAATCATCCCTATTCCTTTCATGTTTCTTTGATAAAAAGCACATTCCACTCAGATAGATTCTTCCTCAAGAACACTCCCAAGAGGATGCTTCCCTGATAAGTACAATGTCCAGAGTCAACCGATATCTATTCTACTTGTCTACATAACACTCTCTTACTTCCACACACTTACAATCTCTCTAAGTAACCTTCTACCTAGAGTGACTCTCATGCCTTGATTAAACACTACAGCGCTTGTAGTATCTAATGAAAAACGATTTTCGATATTTAAAAGTTTACATCAGCATATTCTACCCTTTGCTTTATTACTATTTTTTTTTAACAATCTGCGATATCCAGGCTTTTCTTTGGCGCCCGGATATCCACTTTGTAAATGTAAACACGAGATTATCCCTAACTTTCAACCTACTCCACCCCCGACAAGGTGAGGTTTACCGCGCATGTGCACTCGTGCAGTTACTCAAAGGGAAATGTCTTACATAAAGATGTCTTGAAATGCACTTCCATCTTTCTCTCTCTCTCGTTATATTGCGGGCCGATGATGATAGAATTTATCGATCAACTGCGAACATTGTATCCACACGGATTTTCCTGGCAAAAGAATAAGCGGCTGAGACCTTAGTGGTTAGGGATGCAATGTGCAAACCCGGAGAGATATGATTCAATCACTTTCTGTGAGCAAGAAACTGCAACAGGATTTCCGGTGTCAATGAGTCCTGAACGACAAATCGTGCCTAACAAGTGACAGGAAGCATTTCATAGGGTCTTCCTAAAATTTTTATCCTTATCATGATGATTAGGATTACGATGACGGACATTAACAGGGTTCATGGAATTTCACTAGAGGTAGACTACTAAGACTTTACGTACAAGTATTTCTACGAAAGAAAAGGTCTAATTTATGAATATTAAATATAAACTGACATGTATGGACTTAATAAACTCTATCAATAAAAACTAAGCTATAAAGAAAGAAAGAAAGAAAAAGAAAGAAAAAAGAAATAAAGAATATTTAAATGTAAAAAAAGAAAGAAAGTGTGAGGAAGTATTAAAAAGAAAGAACGAAAAAAAGAAAGACAAATGAGCAAAGACAATGAAAAAAATTAAAACGTTGAAAGAAAGAAAATAAAGGAAAAAGAACAAAGAATGTTCAAATACAAAGAAAGAAAGAAAGAAAGAAAGAAAGAGAAGAAAGAAAGAAAGCAAAGAGTGGGAAAATATTAAGAAAGAAAGAATGTAAGAATGGGGAAATATTAAGAAAGAAAGAAAGAAAGAAAAAAGAAAGAAAGAAAGAAAGAAAGAAAGAAAGAAAGAGTGGGGAAATATTAAGAAAGAAAGAAAGAAAGAAAGAAAAAAGAAAGAAAGAAAGAAAGAAAGCGTGGGGAAATATTAGGGAAGAAAGAAAGAAAGAAAGAGTGGAAAATTTAAGAAAGAAAGAAAGAAAGAAAGAAAGAAAGAAAAAAGAAAGAAAAAAGAGTGGGAAAGAAAGAAAGAAAGAAAGAAAGAAAGAAAGAAAGAAAGAAAAAGAGGGGGAAATATTAAGAAAAGAAAAGAAAGAAAGAAAGAAAGAAAAAGAAAGAATGAAAGAAAGAAAGAAAGAAAGAAAGAGTGGGGCAATATTAAGAAAGAAAGAAAGAAAGAAAGAAAGAAAGAAAGCGTGGGGAAATATTAGGGAAGAAAGAAAGAAAGAAAGAGTGGGGAAATATTAAGAAAGAAAGAAAGGAAGAAAGAAAGAAAGAAAGAAAGAGTGGGGAAATATTATGAAAGAAAGAAAGAAAGAAAGAAAGAAAAAAGAAAGAAAGAAAGAAAGAGTGGGGAAATATTAAGAAAGAAAGAAAGAAAGAAAGAAAGAAAGAAAAAAGAAAGAAAGAAAGAAAGAGTGGGGAAATATTAAGAAAGAAAGAAAGAAAGAAAGAAAGAAAGAAAGAAAGAAAGAGTGGGGAAATATTAAGGAAGAAAGAGAGAATGAAAGAGTGGGGAAATATTAAGAAAGAAAGAAAGAGAGAAAGAAAGAAAGAAAGAAAGAAAGAGTGGGGAAATATTAGGGTAGAAAGAAAGAAAGAAAGAAAGAGTGGGGAAATATTAAGAAAGAAAGAAAGAAAGAAAGAAAGAAAGAGTGGGGAAATATTAGGGAAGAAAGAAAGAAAGAAAGAAAGAAAGAAAGAAAGAAAGAAAGAAATATTAAGAAAGAAAGAAAGAAATAAAGAAAGAAAAGAGTGGGGAAATATTAAGAAAAGAAAGAAAGAATGAAAGAAAGAAATATTAAAGAAGAAAGAAAGAATGAAAGAGTGGGGAAATATTAAGAAAGAAAGAACAAGAGGAGAAATATTAAGAAAGAAAGAAAGAAAGAAAGAAAAGAAAGAAAGAAAGAAAGAAAGAAAGAAAGAAAGAAAGATTAGGGGAAATATTAAGAAAGAAAGAAAGAAAGAAAGAAAGAAAGAAAGAAGAAAGGGGAAATATTAAGAAAGAAAAGAAAGAAAGAAAGAAAGAAAAGCCTGGGAAAATATTAAAGAAAGAAAGATAGAAAGAAAGAAAGAAAGAAAGAAAGAAAGAAAAATTTTGAAAATAAAGAAAGAAAGAAAGAAAATATTAAGAAAGAAAGAAAGAAAGAAAGAAAGAGGAAAATATAAAGAAAGAAAGAAATAAAGAAAGAAAGAAAAAAGAAAGAAAATTTGGGCAATATTAAGAAAAAAAGAAAGAAAGAAAGAAAGAAAGAAAGAAAGAAAGAGTGGGGAAATATTAAGA